TGCGATCGTATCAACTGAACGCAACTTTGCCAGATGCATCAGAACAATTAGTTGAATACAACAATGATTGGATTGTTAGTTCTAGCTACATTTGGCCCCCTGCTGATAATGGTGGTTTCTGATAATGGAGAACCGAGTTAAACTGTTTTTATTTTATAATATCAGTACAGAAGTTACATTCTTCTAGAAAAAAAACACGAAAGGGATGAAATTTATGCATCACGTTCATGTACATAGTGTGTAGGAACAACAAAATGTTGTAGAGGTCGCGCCAACCCCTTTGTAAAAGATGCGTGGTTTGGCAATAGTAGAAGTCTGTTTTTTTTTTTCTTTGTTTTTTGTTTTAACTTCAAATCTGGAAGTTTTATTGTAGCGGTTGTTGATCAATTTAGCTGAATGAACAAATGCAATTAGTTATTTGATTATGCATCTACATATATCTTCTTTATTTTACACCCTTATACAACTTAAAATACGTTGACCCCCCAAAAAAAGTTTGAGAGAAGTTGCTGGTGAAGTACATAATTATGTGTTGACTTCCTAACACCCTTTCTTCAAGTCACTATTGAAACTTGTCCCATTTCATTTTTTTTTCTAACACTCACAAGTTTACAGAAGACGCATCTCACAAGCAGAGGCGGACTTATGTGGAATCTAGGGGGTAACTAGCACCCGTTAAGCTCGGAAAATCCTGTAAATTAAATATAGGTGTATATAGGCTATATAGTTTAATCTATATTTGTTGAATTTATGTAAACACCTAATGTGAAGATATGAGTAATTCTTTATTTTTTTTAAGGATTTATTTATATAGGGGTGGGGGTTGACTTGAAGAGGGCCTTGACGCCAAAGTCTTTTTTTATTTTTTTGGATTTTTGTCGTTTAAAATTTACTGTTGCATTCTCGATAAGTTTATTAGTATTTGTTAAAATTTACTCTTGCATTCTAGAAGAATGTAAGTTTATTAGTAATTACGATCCAGTGTAGAGCTGTGTAATAGCATGAATTGTATCAGTAATCAGTATTGTAAGGGTAATTTTTTTGTTTCTTTTACCTCAAGGTAAAGTACTATATTCGAGTGAAACCTTTCTATTGCTTGATGTGTAACCTTTAAATAAGGCAATATGCCCCTTGAATTAGGGTTTGTAATGTAAATGAAATAATAAATTTGTCCGTCGGCCGGAAGTAATTGTGTATAATATATATATCACTAATATTTTTGGGAATGACAAAAAATGTACATTTCTCTAATAAGTTCACCTAAAAATGTACATTCCCCAAAAATATGAAAGCTGCTTGGAGGTTAACTAAACAATTTGAAAGCGGGATTGAGGGAGCTCGCTCTTAGTTAAACCATTTTTAAGAAGCTAAGCTCACTTTATAAGTTACCTCAAGATATCAAGTAGTTTAGGTGATTGAATACTTTAAAAAGATATTTAAAAATGCTGAAATTGTTAAAACAAGTGAGTTTAGTTCGCTATACCATTTTTTGAAGCAATTCGATGTCTTCGGTCAACTGAGTTGATGATGGTAAAGGCGATTTCTCACATAATTAGAGAATGTTAAAATCATTACTGAATTAATCTCTCCCTATGATCTCATAAAGTCTTTATGATAAAGAGTGTAATTATGGACAATATTTTGGCTAATGGAGTCCATCTAGCATAAGTATCTTTGCAAAGTGTAGACTTTGTTGACAATATTTTTTGGGACCTAAAAATATTGCATTGTATGTTGGACATCATTTGCACAAAACTTTTTTGCCTATAAAAGGGAAGGTCATTAGTTCATTTTAGACATACCAACAAGACTTGAGTCTTCATTTCTTGTTTCTTCCTTTCCTCCTTTATTAAGAGTGTTTTGTATGAGAGTTAATGTTGGGAAGCACTTGTGTGAACCCTTTCTCTGGAGTGATCTTGTGAGGTTATTCTCTTATGGTATTTGGGATTAATTAGAGTGTTTACTCTAATTTTATACTCTTATTGTTATAGTAAAATTGCTCTTCTCCGCTTCTGGACGTAGGTCACACTGACCGAACCACGTTAAATTGGTGTCTTCTTTATCTGCTTTAATTGCCGTTGTTATCAACTTCCATTATCTTTGTTATTGTCATTATACCGTTGTTTGGCTAAATTTCGCACTACCCGGGTTCCCAATCCTAACAAATTGGTATCAGAGCTGGATCTAACCGGGTTAGTTTTAATAGCCAAAATGACTCTAGAAAAAGGCTTATGTTGAGAAATTTGACCAAAGTGCAAACTTCGGAATGTGACAATTAAAGATGAAAGCTATCCTAATTCAGGATGGTTTAGACTTGGCGTTGCAAGGAAAGGAGAAGAAGCCAGATAAAATGACGGATGAGGAGTTTGCCGTCATAGACAAAAGGGCAAAAACAAGTATCATTTTAAATCTCTCAAATGAGGTTTTACGTGAAGTTTCTGTAGAAACTACAACTAAAGGCATGTGAGAAGATTTGAAAACCTTATATATGAAGAGGACGGTGGAAAATAGACTTTACCTGAAGCAGAAGCTTTATACAATTCGTATGGGTGAAGGTACCTCTACTCTCTCTCATCTTGATACCTTTGATTCCATTCTTATGGATTTGAGTAATATAGATGCTGAAATTAAAGATGAGGATCAAGCTGTGTTACTGCCTCTACCCCCATCTTTTAAGCATATAAGAGATAGATACTATGCTTTATGCAAAGGATAATATCTCTTATAAGGATATTAATTCTATCTTAAAATCAAAAGAACATATAGATAGTGATATTTCTAGGGAAGCTAGTGGAACTCCAGCGGAAGTTGGCTTGTTTGTTAGGGGCAAATTCGACTCCATATCCAGATACAATAATTTGGAGTGTCGTTATTGTCATAAGAAAGGTCACATTATCTCTTAATGCTATAAACTGAAAAATAAAGAAAAGCATAAAGAAAGAAAAAATGAGCACAAAAATACCGACACCGCCGAAGCTAGTGTAGCAACTGATGAGATTGAGGGAACTATATTTTTAGCAACTGAAATTAGTTTCATATTTGACAATGAGTGGATTTTAGATTCCATCATATCATATGTGTCCTAGCAAGAACTTGTTTACTACATATGATTCAGTTGCAGGTGGAGTTGTCCAATTGGGTAGCAATGTTACTTGTAACGTTGTTGGCAAAGGTACAATTCGGATTAGAATGCACGATGGTGTAGTGAGAACTCTCACTGATGTTAGATATGTTCCTGAGTTGAAGAAAAATCTCATATCTTTGGGCACTTTAGAATCCCTTGGGTGCAAATTCACTGGTGAAGGTGGAGTTCTGAAATGTTTTCAAGGTGCTCTTGTGATCATGAAAGCACAGAGATCTGATTCGTTGTATACTTTATTGGGCTCCACTGTTATAGGACATACTACAGTTTCGGTATTAGACAACTTATCTGATTTTGATGGCATTAAATTTTGACATATGCCCATTGGGGCTTTTGCGGAGAAGGTGGAGCAAACTTACTATATCAACCAAAATTAGGCCTAGGTGGAGATTTATAATTATAGCCAATATTTTGGCTAATGGAGTCCATCTCACATAAGCATAGGCATCTTTGCAAAGTGTAAACTTTGTTGGTAATATTCTTTAGGACCCAAAAATATTGCATTGTGTGGTGGACATCATTTGCACAAGTTGTATCTCTTCTTTTACACCTAAGAGGCAAAGACGTTTTTGCCTATAAAAGGGAAGGTCATTAGTTCATTTTAGACACACCAACAAGATTTGAATCTTCATTTCTTGTTTCTTCCTTTCCTCCTTTATTAAGAGTGTTTTGTATGAGAGTTAGTGTTGGGAAGCACTTGTGTGGACCCTTTCTTTGGAGTGATCTTGTGCGGTTATTCTGTTAGGGTATTTGAGATTAATTAGAGTGTTTACTCTAATTTTGTACTCTTATTGTTATAGTAAAATTGCTCCTCTCCGTTTGTGGACGTAGGTCACACTAACCGAACCACGTTAAATTGGTGTCTTCTTTATCTGCTTTAATTACCGTTGTTATCAACTTCCATTGTCTTTGTTATTGTCATTATACCGTTGTTTGACTAAATTTCGCATTACCCGGGTTCCCAATCCTAACAAATTGGTATCAGAGCCGGATCTAACCGGGTTAGTTTCAATAACCAAAATGACTCTAACAAAGACCTATGTTGAGAAATTTGGCCGAAGTGCAAACTTCGGAATGTGACAATTAAAGATGGAAGCTATCTTAATTAAGGATGGCTTAGACTTGGCGTTGCAAGGAAAGGAGAAGAAGCCGGATAAAATGACGGATGAGGAGTTTGCCGTCATAGATAAAAGGGCAAAAGCAGATATCATTTTAAATCTCTCAAATGAGGTTTTACGTGAAGTTTCTGTATAAACCACAACCAAAGGAAAAATTTAAAACCTTATATATGAAGAGAACGGTGAAAAATAGACTTTACGTGAAGCAAAAGCGTTATACAAATTCGTATGGGTGAAGGTACCTATATTCTCTATCTGGTGCCTTACTCGGTAAACATAGGTAGAATCTTCATGTTGATATTATTATTTGGTAAGATAACTAAGAATCGGATCGCTAATAGCATAAGTCGTTTATTCCTTTGTAATGTAACTAATTGATATCGTAGTTACTTTATGGTTTTGAAATCAATGAAAGATTAATTCTAAGCTAATTGGAAGAAAATTACTAGTAACAAAGTAGAAAAGACATACTGATATTGAACACTACTGTCTAAGGATATTAATCTTGCAGTAAAGTTTCCTTCAGCGAAGTTGACATCTTTTTCCTAAATTGGTCCTTTGTAGTAGCTCACTTTAATGGACAATTTTGCAGCTTAATGTACTCTGATCAATACATTTAGATTTAATATCAATATCCTGCTATGCCAGACAAAATGTACTCTGATTAATCATCCTGGCAAAACTCACTCATAATCTGCTATGGCAAAGATAACCAATTAAGAAGTATCTATACCATTTACTTAAAGAATTTAAGAAATGAATTGAATTAGGATTGTTAAATTTAAAGTGCTGCATACCAGATATGTACATCCGCTTTAAGATAAAGAAGGTCCAAATTAATTTTAAAAAGACGTCAAATTTCAAAAATTTGGCAGTCAAAAGAGCAAGTGCTCAGGTATCACCGTCAAGAAAACCACAAACTAGACAAGGTGAGGGCATAAACTTAGCCAGTACTAGAAGTAGATGTTGTTGACCTGCTACTGCTAGTCCATTTTGCAATAACTGAATCGGGTGAGAGAGATAAAGCGTTATTCTTCAACAGCCCAGAATCATCACCAGGACTTGCTTTCTTTGTTTCTCCTGCAGCTTTGTCCATACTCTGAATTCCCAGTAGAGACTTCAAAACCTCTTGCATGGATGGTCTCAAATCCCTGTCATTCTGTAAACACTGGAAAGCCAACTCTGCCACGGCGGTGATCATCCACTTTACCTTCTCATTGGAATCAAAACCAAGACTTGGATCAGCCAACTCATGTAATGCATTGCTCTGAATCTTGTTAATTGCCATATTTGACAGATTTATTTCATATCGATGCCTAGAGATATCAACAGCTGGTAGGGAGGATATAAGCTCGATTAGTACCACCCCGAAACTATACACATCACTTTTGCTGGTGAGTTGATAGCATTCGTGATACTGGGGATCAACATATCCAGGGGTACCCTGTGGAGCTGTTGAGACGTGAGTAGCATCAGTTGGGAAAAGCCGAGACAAGCCAAAATCTGCTACTTTGACGCAGAAATTATTGTCTAGGAGGATATTGTTAGTTTTTACATCTCTGTGAATGACATCTGAATTGTGGAGATAGGTTAGTGCACTTGCCGTTTCTACGGCAATGCTCATTCGTGTATTCCATGAAAGCGATCCAGGCTTAGTGTGTTCTCCATGAAGATGATCAGCAACTGTGCCATTGGGAATATATTCATACACAAGAAGAAGCTCGCGGCTATGGCGAGATGTGCATCCATAAAGGGTAACTAGATTTCGATGGTGCAAGCGTGTGAGGAGTTTGACTTCATTACGGAATTGCTCAACCCTCTTGTAGTTGTTCTCATATAAACGTTTTACGGCAACAACACGTCCATCTCGAAGTTTACCTGTAACATATCATGTACAACCAGATGGTTAATGATTCGGATAAAATATTTAGGTTTAGTAGCAGAAGATCACTTGAAGATAATTATTTTACCTTTGTATACTGTGCCAAAGCCACCTTCTCCAAGTTCTTTGTTGGAATCAAAATTGCTTGTGGCTTCTTGCAGTTCATTGTAGTCAAATACGGGAATTCCGAAATAGTGTGAAGCCTTTTCAGGATCCGCTATTGAGGAGGGATAAGAAAGGATGCTACTGGAGATCAAAGACGAACCGGCGTCACTTTTCTTCTGTCGACGACGATAGAGAAAGAAAAATACACATGCCACAAAGGCAGTTAATGCAGCTGCACTTACACCTGAAAGAGAGAAATATGTGACCAGGAAGTTCGAGATCATTGTTGAAGAGAAGGACAATAACAAGATGAACAAGGTCAAAGGACAGTTACCTACGGCAGCCTTCACTCTGATATCTCTTTTATTGCCTGTAATGTAAACATAAACAAGTGATGAAATGATACAGAACCACAATAAAGAATCTCCTGTAGTATAATAAATCAACTGCTATCACCTTACTGTTTCTTATCTATGAAGGAATAAGGTGGTTTTTTTCTACTCCGTTATGGATTACATAGTCAAACGTGGAATTGGACTTTAAGTTTCTAGATTAAACATGACGTGTTCTGCTTTGAGGTTAGATTCGTTATTCGAGAACCACATTGCTCTATGCTATTCAAGCAATCTCAACATTTTAGCCTCATTCTCTTTTGCAGAAGTTGTGGGTAATTCATTTTCGCATAAACAGGGTGCTGACATGATTCTACTGCATAGTTATAGTGCTCTAGAAACTCACTATGAAAAACTGGAAAAGAATGATTGATGACAGCGTTACTGGCGCAATTTACAACATATGTTTTCCTTTTACAAGGTTGGGTACAGTCATAGGAGAAGAGGAGATGTTGTTGGACCTAGGCTAAATGGAGGCTCCCGAGGTTGGACACAAATGCTTCATCAGATTTCTCTGTCTTTTATGATCTGTCCCCTCCTTAGTGTATTAATGAAGGAAACTTAACAAGCAAAACAGATAATAGAAGGAAACATGGAAAATAACTGTTGTAAAAACAATATTTAGAAAAGCCTGAATCCTAAGTCAGGTTAAAATGATAGAATATAAAGAAATTCGGGTGAAAAAGTGAGAAAAAGTTGCATTTCTTACAAATGCCAAATGTCCAACTTCACCACCTACTGGCTAAGAGAGTCAAAGAGTCGAGATGGGGCCAAAACCTTAGACATTTCAATTACAAATTAGAAAAGAACAAGTAGAAAGGACAGGAAATTCGTGAAGTATCAAATCTCTGCTTGGTAGGAGCGAAAGCGTGGAAACAGAGAGGGTAGAAGTTGTTTTATTTAGTCATCCCGTCCATATGCGCTTTAGGAACGCGCTAAAAGAATACCCTGAAGGAGACCTTTTCCAAGAATATATGAGTTAATCAATTTCAATCTGTTCTTTTTCCTGGCAATTCTATCACATATCATAGGTGAATTTATCTTTCTATAGATGTATTGTCATCTCCACCGTTCGCCAAATTTGATATTCCTATCTCGCCGGGTGAGGCTAAAACAAAACTTGCTGCTGTCTAATACTACTAGATCTCAGAACAGGCATCAGCAAAAATGGCTTGTGCTGGGAAATCTGTAACTATATTTTATTGTTTGGGCTTCACAAACTTGATAAAAAATGCCCCAACAAATGTTACAAGGGATGAAATAAATTAGAAAGGCGTGAAACGAATTGGAAGTTTCCCACCAAAATATGGGGAAAAATATTTTGAATGGACTATTCAATTTAGATGTCTATCTGGGCCAAAATACTCGACCATATGCCAGCCTATTCTCCCTTTCTGGAGCTTCTTTGACAGTTGAAGACTATGGGCTACCAGTTAGATTCAACTAATTTTGGCAAACAGAGTAAGTTAGATTAGGGAGACGGAACGCACCTTGATCTGTTACATAACCACAGTGATAGGAATAAGTTCGATCCCTACAAAGGCACGTTGACTCCGTAAGATTTGTCTCTGACCAACATAACCCGCCTGACTTCTCACAAACTATACATTCTGTGCTTTTGTTATACACCACATCAAACCCTTGCTTCAATAGCTCCAATATCTTCGTACTTCCTTCGTTCTTGAACTGCTCAAATGCCTTCATCACAACAGGAACCATAACCTTATGCTCACATCTCGGGTACCTTGGGCCCCAGAATGATGAAAATGACTCATCTGGATAGAAACCAAGACTGGAGTCTCCATTGATATTGCATCTAAAGGCGAACTTTTTCCATTCTGAAGGTATATCGAAAGGACAATCATAGAACAGGACGAAGGCTTGCGAGTCAGAACCATAGCGGAAAAGAGCATCATTCAAGGTAGTGTTACCAAATCTATCAGGACAAATGTCTTCTTCAAGATCTTTACGTGCAATTCTCATGGTTTGCTTTTCTCCTTTGATGTCAAGTACACGGAAATCATGATTGTCAATCTTCATTACGGGATTATGGTTGGCTTCACATTCAAGCTCGAATTGTGGAAGACCGCATTCTTGAGGTCGATCACCACCCCAGAAAGGGAAGCCGATGTTCCGAATATTCCCACAGCTGTAGGAGCTATTACAAGTGGTATGCTGTTTATTTTCTTGGCCAAAAGATAGTGAGGAAGTGATCAAGAAGAATATGAAGGTGATGATGGAATGGAGCAGAGGAAGACGGAAGCTTTGAGCATGCATTTGTGAGAACTCATCAACGATAGACTTGGTTGGCTGGAGAATACTTTGGTATTAGAGAAGATCGGTAAAATATATGATTCAATTGAAATGTCGTCCAAAAGTCAAAGTTAATCCAGTTTTGACTAACAAAAAATGTCATACTTGAGTATTATTATGGTAAACAAAGAAATGGCTGCTCCTTTTATGACTTTTCCAGTGATTATTGTAGAAAATTCGCTTTCAACTTAAGAAAATTGGAGGAAAATAAGGTTCTTGTTCACAACTAGAAGGAGAAATTTCAAACGAATAAAAAGGCATAGATATTTTATGCCAGTCTTATTGGTAGCTTTCCATGCAATTGCCTTGAAACTTTCACCCGAGACTGTAAATGCAGTTCTAGATGATAAAGCTAATTTAAAAATAAAAAGATAGGAAAAGGGCGGGCGGCAATACTAATGTGGACAGGAAAAAAAAACGTATGCCTTTGAAAATTCTCTCTTAAGAACGAAAATATTTTACTTATAAATTTATGAACGATCTCTACCGTTCTTTATTTTCTTCACACATAAAATAAGCTATTAATACCCATATTTATAATAGTATGAAACATATTTCAATTAAAAACAGAAAGACTTATTCCTATATTAATTCTAACTATAAATTATATTTAGACATGAAATAAATAAACTAACAAATATCAAATCCTAAATAATTTAAGTTTTCTACTCAAACTTTGAATTAGTTTTCTACCATATTAGGAATATAAAATTCAAAAGTCTATATTCATGAGCTGACTGCACCTGATGACCATTGTCTAATGCGTCTATATTATTAAGGTTTTTTTTCTTTTTTCTTTTTTTGTGCCATGTGAACCTAATGGGTATTTTCAGTGCAGCTGATAGTCACAATCTACATCTTAGCAGAAAGAATAGGAGATAAATAATAAAAAAGGAGATGCTTTTTTAGACCCCTAGTCTCGTCTACAAAGAGGGCTTTCCTTTCGAATTTTCTTTTGGGTCGCCCTGTATCACTTTAGTGTAATATTTTAATTCGCAAAATGTTCTCATCTTTTCTAATTTTCTTCCCTGCTTTTAAGACAAGGTGGGTTGATGGAAAGCGCCTCCACTTCTAATCAAGAGGTTGTGAGTTCGTATCATCCCAAGAGCAAGGTGAGAATTTTTGGATGGAAGGATGCCGAGTTTCTATTGGAAACAGCCTCTCTACCTTAGGGTATGAGTAAGGTCTGCGTACACACTACCCTCTCCAGACCCCACTAATAAAATTATACTGGGTTGTTGTTGTTGTTGCTGCTTGCTTCTAATGGATCTGTCCTTAAAAAGAAACTTTCAGTAAAGAAGCTACCTGAACTAGGTCGTGAAAGAATAATCTCTAGATTGGAGTCATGGAGTGTTTACGAAACAAGCAGAACTTGCTTATTTCAACGAAGAAGACAAACCAGTTTATTACATATTCCAATTACGTGGAAAAGAGGAAAAATTCCAAAAGAACAGAAAAGAAACATCATAGGTATCAGAAGGTCACTCTTTTCCTACCGATTCATATTGCCGAAACTAATTGGGCGTTTGGACATAAGAATTGTAAAATTTTAAAAAAAAGTGAAAAAAAATTCTAAGGGGATATAATGTTGAAAATTAGAGTTGTATTTGGACATAAATATAATTTTGGATTGTTTTTGAAGTTTTGTGAATGATCTGAGTTAAAATTTTGAAAAATAGCTTTTTGCGGTTTTTTAAATTTTCAAAAAAATTCAAAATTCATCTTCAAATGAAAATTAAAAATTTTATGGTCAAACACTTATTTCAAAAAAAAATTAAAAAAATTCGAAAAATATGAAAAAGTTTTTATATCCAAACGGGCTCTAAGTATGCGCTTGGTCATAGATGCCAAAAAAGTTTTCTAAATAGAATTTTTAATCTGGAAATTGAAGTTATATTTGAATGAAAAAAAATTAAAGTTTTGTAAGTAAGGGAAAAAAAGGATTTTCCGGAAAACTTGAAATTTTTTGATTTTGAAAAATTTATTTTCGAAAATCTTTCAAAATCTTACAATTTTTTATAGGCAAACACGTTTTTTAAAACATTTTCCGGAGAAAAGCAAAAAATGTGTATGGCCAAAACCAGTTGGGCTAGGCCAACCTTTAATGGGCCTTTTAGCTACACTGCCTACTGGGTTCATTTTGGGGAGATTTATACAAAATACCCATTGAACTTAAAATAATTATTCTTCTCTATCTATTTGAAAACTATTTACCATATATATCTATCCAGTTAAAACTAATTACCTAACCTAGCTTAGCTTGATTTGGCTTGGCTCGGCTCGACACGGCTTGGCTTGGTTCGGTTTGGCTCGGCTTGGCTTGGCTAAAAAAAATGGGTAGGGAGAAAACTTAATGTGTTTGGGTAAATAGTTTGTGATGAGTGAGTATTTGCAAAAGATTCCCTTCATTTTGGGCTCTCTTTGTGGATTATTCAAGAAGAATTAACTCAAATAGGCGTTCACCTAACCACTTAAGCTAAAAATAGCTGGTGCATTATATATGTATAAACATGTATAGTCAATGTATAATACATACATATGACTAGAAAAAGTAAATAGTGAATAAGCAACGCAAAGTTGTACTTTGAATTCAAAGTAGGTAGAGAATAGAAATGGTAAAATGTTAAGAGTCAAATCCTAACATCAGCTGCTCAACAAAACCTGATACCATTGGCGTATAGAATAAGATAAAGATACTCCTAATGAATAAACGCGTATGCCAAAAATCAGAAGATTGGACTTTTTGGATCAGATAACATTTTAAATTAGTAGTTGGGAAAAATAAGTGATACAAGCTAACCTTTGCATCAATATTCTTGTGCAGGACGGACAGTGATTCTTCTTTTTTTAATAAGGTTTGTGGAATCCCTCTTGAGTCTTGACTAACACCAGCCTTTAAGCCAGATTTAAAGGATTGATTCGGTATCAATACCTCCCGATTTATAATAAAGGAATGTGGTGGGATAGATGTAATTCTTTCACTTTTTAGTAAATGTCTTGGAATGGAGAAATCTCTCGTTGGAAATGCTTCCCCATTTAGTGAATTCTGTGTAGTTAATCAATCCAGTGAGTTTCAAAAATTAGGTGAATAAACCGAAAAATAATGAGTTGTGGAATGATCTTTCTTATATAGAATATCTAAGAAGCAAAAAGTTCTCAGTGTATCAATAAGCTAAAGTGATACTGCAAGTTGTTTCATGCATATATAAACTCGACATTCAATTTGATTGTAAATATAGAATCTTAGTAGTTAGTTGGTTTTTGCAATTTTCTAAATGCAAGATAAATAGTACTATTAGTGAAGTTGATAAAAATAAAGTTGGGCGTACCTTTGCAATGATCAAACTTAACGGTACCATCTTTGCAAAAGCACAAGAGATTCTGGGTTGAATTGTTGAAACCACACCGCCCGTGTGAGTCCTCACACTTGCCGCACTCCGACGCGCTCCGCCAGTCCAGCACGAAACCCTCGCCCATGGCCCCACCAAATCCTCCGATCCAATCATTGTTCTGGAAGCTTCCCCTCTCCGTCACCGTCGCCACCACTTTCTCCTCACAAATCCCAATCCAGTTCAAATCTTCCGGCTCACTGATTTCCCCAACATAGAAATAAGATGCTTTTCCACCTGATTTTATTAAGCACTCCGCGGGATAAGCTTGAGGTAGAGATTTTGTACAATTGAAATAAAATGTAAGTTTCAGATCGGAATCCGAATAATCCAAAGGCAAGTGTTCTAAAGTAAGATTGTGACGTGCTCTGGGACATGGCACGTCGAAAACATCAATGTCCACTAGAGTGAGGGAATTGGTTTCATAATCTATATTTTTAACGTAGAAAGCATCACCCGGAAGGTGAAGAATAGGATATGGTTGAGAATGAGAAATAGAGCAGCTGATGCCAAATCCAGGGTAACCACAGTACTGAGGAGCGGTTGCGTTGTAATTGTCAAGCCTCCAGAAAGGATATGAAACTTCAACTCCACTGCAGTTATGTTTAGGACAATATGCATAAGACGGAGCGTCATCATTTGCACTGGATTTAACTGAGGAGAAAAACAGAGAAAGAAAAAGAAGAGACAAGAAGAAGAAGAAGAAGAAGAAGAAGAAGGAGTGAGATTGATTCTGAAACATGGTCAATTGATGTAATGCTGATTGGTATACTAATACATGTAGTATCTTTAATTATTGCAGCTTCAAGTGTAATATGCTTTTAAAATTGGGACTTGCAATTATATATTCTTGTTAGTATGAAGTATGAAACGTTGAATTTGGGAGCTGAAATATTTGTTGTGAAGCTTTATAGACACGGGTAGGCACCGAACTATTTGGCTCATTTGTTATTGAGTATTTGATTTCTTAATATAGGTACTGACTGTAGTGGAATTTCTTTTTGAAGATTTTTGGTATTGCCTTTAGTGGAATTTCTTTTTTGAAGATTTTTGTTATATTTATGTATTGGGAAACATAAAGAATGGGGAAGAAGGTGAGTCGTATTATGCTTTTGATTCCAAATGCACAAGAAAATATACTGTCAATCGCGATGTCAACCAAAAGAGGAAAAATGAAGGAAATAGCAACGTTGCTTCCCTTTATATTGCAGTACAAAACAACGAGCTTCCTCGACCACGCCTATTTGCAATTTAGGTACAGAAAAACGTATTGATTAATCAAAGAGGATTACAGTAGTACAACACTGAAAAGAGAAGCACATGCAATAGGTTATGATATTTGATTTCACGTACAAATACTTTGTATTCATTAAAGGATGTCAAAATATAAAAAAAGTAAACACGCAAAAAAATCAAGGGAAGTCAACATATAGTTATATATAATAAAATTTACCGGCCTACATAAAATAATTTTCCTGACGAAAGGGTGTCAGTTGATAACACTTGAGATAAGGTGGCTTCGCCTCTGCTCTCATCAAAATATTGATAAGATGTTTGATTAGCGGACAAAATTATGGTGGGATTAAAAGGGAGATATTATACTATTGAGATTTATTAATTCCTAATTAATTCTTATGATTTGCTTATGTTGATACATTAAAAAAAGAATTATACGATGCATAATTTAAAATGTATTTGGTTTTCTATTTTTGATTTTTGTCTTAACTTTAACCTTTTTAATAATCCTTTGAAAATGTTCTGGCAGATGTTGTTGACTATGGTTAAGCAAGCTGACTATACTAGAGTTAAGTTAAATGGGTAGAGTTAGTTGTTAAGAAGTTAATTAGGTGGTAAATGTTAGTTAGGAAGGTTGTTAATACTGTAGTTGTGCATATAATCACTGTACTCTCATTGAAGTAAATACAAGATTTCATTTTCTCAGTTTCATATAGTCGGTGGCTTCATTCTCTTTTCTCCTATCTTCTTCACGGCCGTAATTGATCAGCTGTAACAGAGCTGTGACCGTCATTGCCATGGCTGCTAACATGGTATCAGAGCCTATGCTCTCGATCTTGATCGCTCGTCAGCTCACCAGTATTCAATTAGTCACTACGCTTCTCTCTTGTAGTATTGAAGTGTCTGAAAGTGATCCAAATCGAAACTAGGGTTTGAGATTTGAGCGACGTTTAAAAATTGCTGCTACTCTGTTGTTGCAATAGCGATTGAGGATAATTCTTCACTATCTGAAGCTCCACATGCTCGTGCCACTGGTACGAGTACCTTCACTGCTGGAACCATAAGTTTTCCTGTCATTGACCACAACCATCCACTGTACCTTCAACCAACTGATACTTCAGGTAGCTCCTTGATTTCTCTCCAATTGAATGGATCAGATAATTATGCATTGTAGAGTCGTGCTATGAGAGTTGGTTTACTAGGAAAAAGAAAATTAGGTTTTGTCGATGGTCGCTTTCCTAAGTCTAGGTTTGATCGTGCTCTTCATGATTTATGGGAGAAGGTGAATGCTGTAGTATTATCATGGATTATGAACTCTGTTAGGCCTGGTCCTCTGAGCAGTATTCTGTATGCTTCTGATGCACACAAAGTGTGGGAAGACTTGAAGGAGAGGTTCGACAAGGTTAATGGATCCAGAGTATTACACCTACATAGAGAAATTCATACCCACACACAGGGCACCATGGTTGTGACTGATTACTTCACTAAGTTGAAGGATTTATGGAATGAATTTGATGCACGTATGTCATGTCCTGGCTGCCCCTGCCCAGAGTCTAAGAAGTATGCACAACGCTTTGAATATCACATACTTCTGCAATTCCTTATGGGCCTGAATGTGTCATACTCATAGGCTAGAAGTCAGATCATGATGATGACTCATATTCCCAGCATCAATAAAGCATACTCACTGCTTGTTGATCAGGAGAGTCAAAGGAATCTAGCCAATTTCACTCAAGCAGTGCAAGTTACTGAGAGTTTAGATAGCACTGCACTCTACAACAACAAAGTGACTAACAACACAGGGAGCTAATTTAAACTAGCTGGTAATTACAGGCAAAAGAAAAGTCAAGTTCAATGTGAATATTGTCACTTCAAGGGACATACAAAGGAAAACTGCTACAAGTTGATTGGGTATCCACCGGATTTCAAGTCCAAAAGAAAAGGTGTTAGTCCTGGCATCTACTCAAATCATGCCAGTGGTACATCTTATCCAATAAGAGAAGGTTGTAATGCAGTAGGATGCTGTCAACAACAAGGTGTTAGTCAACAATGCAGAGGTGAGGTTGGTCTGTCTCAGCCATCACAGTTTAGAGGAGGTTATTCAGATTTCACTCAGCCTCAACCAGCACCAGGCAAGATACTTGTACCCTTCTTCACTCGGGAGCAATACCAACAGATTGTGCACTTGCTTAACAAAGGAACTGAGGAAGGAGCCTCTAGCAAAGCTTTATCTACATGTATTTTGATATCCTTACTGTTTGAGTATGTTAATCACAACTGGATAGTAGACACAGGTGCATCAAATCATATGACAGCAGATCTACATATGTTAAATAGCTATCAATAGATTCCTACATCACAAAGAAGCAAAGTTTACTTACCTACAGAACCACTGTCCTAGTGTCTCATAAAGGGAATTCGACTGTACTTAAGGATCAGGATATCAGTAATGTACTTTACATACCTGACTTTAAGTACAACCTCTTGTCTGTCTCTCAACTCACCAAGGAACTACAGTGCTTAGTAGCTTTCTTTCCTGATTTTTGTGTCTTTTAGGACCTCTACAATGGTTAGGTGATAGGGATTGGTAAGGAAGATCATGGGCTCTATCTGCTGAAAGGGAGGCTTCTTGTCAAGGATAAGTCAAGCTCTACAGCTAATAATAAATGTGTACATATAGCTACTAGCACTAGTATCAGTACTGCAACTCCTTATTTGTGGCATATATATGAGGTTAGGTCATGCACATGTTGATGTTATAAAGAAACACAAGTCTCTTAGTTCCTTGAAGAATGTAACACATTGCACTGTGTGTCCATTAGCAAAGCAATCAAAATTACCTTTTCAGCTAAGAAATACTAATTCTAAGTCTGTGTTTGATCTATTGCATTGTGACATATGGGAACCCTATAAAGTTCCCACATATGATGGAAAGAAATACTTTGTTACTGTTATAGATGACTACACTAGATACACATGGGTGTTCCTCATTCATTCCAAGTCTGGCACTATTGTGGTTTTGAGAGACTTCTTAACTAAGACACAAAATGTGTTTTCCACTACTGTTAAGGTAATCAGAATAGATAATGGTAGCGAGTTCTGCAGCAATGAATTTCAACAACTATTGTCAGGTCTTGGCATTGGCCATCAGACTTCCTGTGTTTACACCCCTCAACAGAATGGAGTAGTTGAGAAGAAGCACAGAACCATTCTGGAGATGGCCAGATCTATTAGATTTCAAGCTGCAGTTCTGTCACGACCCAAAATCCATTAAGGTCGTGATGGAGCCGGACACCACTCTCAGGCAAGCCAACAATAAATACTAGATTTGGTCATCATCTTTAATGTTTTTGAAATCATATTTTCCTTCAAATTAAATAGTAAAGGATGAGATTTTTCAGAATAAATAATAATATTTTTATCAATTTCAATACTGAACTCCCATAATCAATCCCAAAACCCGGTGTCACAAGTGCATGAGCATTTACTAGGAGATAAAATAAAATACAATAACTGTCTGGAATAAAAATTTGGACAGAAAAGAAAATACAATACTTTGAAGGAGACTTTGCTGGCTGCGGATCGTCTCACAAAATGCAACTCACCTACGTCCTCGTATCAACCACATCGTTTCGCCCACAAGGCCAATAATATATATGTGCCTGCATAACAAAATGTGCAGCAAGAGTAGTATGAGTATGTAAATCAACGCGTAACCAGTAAGTATCCCACCTAACCTCGAAGAAGTAGTAACGAGAGATCGACTCGGACACTTACTAGTGGTCCAATAATATCAGGTACAGTAAAGAAGTGAATAAATATGAAACCGAGTTAATGTATGAAATAAACATGTATAAAATACATGGTATAATTTCCCTCTTTACAAATTTACTCAAGCTCTCAACTAGCAAGTTCCCTCCTTAACCGGAGCATATATATAGAGATAGTGGATCTCATCAAAAAGGTTGTCATAATTCAAATCAGGGAAAGACCTCAGATACACTGGCCTCATGCCAAATATTACGCACGATTCCATGAGGATAATATATATAGGAAATGCCGACGCATACGGCCCGGTCCAACATAAAAGTAAACTATGCACTATCGAGGGTCGAACGACGCGAACCATAGATGCATCTATTAACCTGCTAAGGCGAACGGCTCGCTCCCATGAGAGTGTGGTACATAAATCCTGCCGAGGCAAACGGCCCGATCCCATAAGAGTAGTAGGAAATACCCCACTCGCGAATCATACATGCGACGCTGTATAAATTTAAAGAATCACCCCGCTCGCGGATCATACTTGCGACGCGGTCAAATATAAATTTATTATTAAAATCATATCTCTTTCTTGATTCTTTTCAAAATAAGGGAAATTCAAATTGTAGCTTTTTAAGGAAATTACCCCGCTCGTGAAACATACATGCGACACGGTTACACATAGATTTCTTTAGCTATTATAATACTCCTCGATTCTTTTTGAAATCTCGAAGTTCAAATGAAACCTTTTAAATCCTAAATTCTTCAATTTTGACTCCTTTCTAAACATTTAATAAGCAGACTCAATCTCGCTCCCTCTCAAGACAAACAATAAACATAAATCACTAACAATATCAATAAGGCTTGATGTGAGCCTAAAACTACCCGGACATAGGCATAACTAGTAGCTACGTACAGACTCTCGTCACCCCGTGCGTACGTAGCCCCCACACATAGAAGCACACAATAATTTAGTTCACCTAGGGGGTTAATTCCCTCTTACAAGATTAGAAAGGAGACTTACCTCACTCCAAAATTCTATAACCGACTCCAAAGCCGCTCTAACAACTCAAACTGAAGTCCGTTGCTCC